CCAGTAGGCTTGGAAGTATTATGGTTTGAAGAACAGTGAGCTAAATGAACACATTTTCTTTATAAAGTTCCCAAACTCAGGTATTATGCTATAGCAACAGAAAGCAGACTAACACAAGAGAGAAGGCAGTATCCTTGTTGCTAGGTGGACTCTCACAGTCTAGAAGAGAAGACTAAGTGGGCAACTGTTCAGAAAGACCTAATATCTTTCTTGCTGTGACTGTTTCCCCAGAGCCACCTTGTGTCACTACTTTACTTTGGGAGTGCAGAAGTAGTTGTGTTTGAAGCCCTGTGATGCCCCACATCAGCAGATTTCGTCCTTTTGAAAATTACAGGCTGTGTGGAAAGAAAGCATCCCTAATTATATTTCCTTCCATCTCAGCTTGCCTCACACACACTCTCTCTCTTTATTAACAGGGGCAATAACTAGCCAACACACACATGTAGTCTGGCTTCTCCCACCCATGTCCCCAAAGGCTCAGACTCAATGCGTGCGTGACCTGTTATTCAAGACATCATAGTTACCAGGCGTGGTGGTGCACAAAGCTGTAATCCTAGCTACTCGGGAGGCTGAGGCAGGAGGATTTCAAGTTTAAGGCCAGCCTGGGCAACAAAACATAAGAAGGGCTGGGGGTGTAGGCTGAGGTAGGAGGATCACAAGTTCAAAGCCAGTGTCAGTAATTTAGTGAGGCCCTGAGCAACTTCGGGAGATATTGTCTTAAAATAAATAAAAACAGGGCTGAGGATGTGGCTCAGTGGTTAAGCACCTCTGGGTTCAAACCCTGGTATAAAACAAAACAAAACAAAAAAACAATCCAAAGGAAATGTGAGGTATGAGAAGAGGGAGGGAAATGGGACTGAATATTTCCAACCTCGGGTGGACTGAAAGGAGATTCAAAAGAAAAATAAAGTTTTGGACCAGTTTCTAGATTGTGTGTATTCATGATTGTCTAATAGTAAAACTTTCTGGCAATAGAATGTTCCTACTCCCTTTAGGTACTGGGCATGACTAAAGAGGGACACATTCAGGGGATGTTGATTTTATCCACTGGTAATAATTGCCTTGATTTTTATAATCGATAATATATATATATATATAATAAATGCTTATCATGTTGCTGAGTAGTCGTCCACAGAATGGATGTAATGTTTAACCATTTGAGCATCTGCCGCAGAGCTACGTCCTTAGTCCAGTTTTCCCAAAATTTGACTATTACAAATAAAGCTGTTATGGGTCAGCTCACTCTAGGATATTTGATTTCATTGTGTGTGTGCTTTCTTTTTTTTTTTTTTTTGGTGCTGGGGATTGACTCCAGGGTCTCATACATACTAGGCAAGTGCTCTACCACTGAGTTACATCCCAGTTCTTGATTTCAATTTTACTTTAAGATGATAGATAGTAAGCACATTTAATTTTTTGTAGGCTGCCTCTATTTCTTTTTTTTTTTTTGCAAAAAAATTGGGAAATCAGTTCATTTATGAATCACTAACAACCCAGTTAGTAATGCTTTTGGGGTTTCTGTGGATTTTTAAATTTTTCCCGTTGTGAGGAGTAGTTGGTTTTCATGGCTCTGCTTGAGTGGGTGGAAATACCAGTTCCACAGGCCTCTGTTGGGCTCTACCTCATGCAGGATTGGGGCCAGGGATGACTCACACCTTACACCTCACAAGCATGGTTGGAGGCACAGGCAAGCTGCTGATGGCTCAAGGATGTGGAAGCAAGGATTAGTGAGGTTTTGTGCAATTGTACACCGATTTATATCAGGGACTTGACAATCCACTGATTTTGGTGTCTGAGGGGATCCTGGAAGTAAATTCTCTTGAATACTGAAGGATGACTGTACATACTTCATACATAAGGTTGTGATGAGCATCAAGTGAGTAAATACTTTTTGTAGTTTTTGAGAAAGGGTTTCACTAAATTGTCCATGATGGCCACAAACTTGCCATCCTCCGCCTCCTGAGAGGCAGGGATTACGGGCGTGAGCCACTGGACTTGGCTTTAGTAAAACTTTCAAAGTGTTTGAAATAATGGCTGGCTCATGGTGTCTCGGTGAAAGATAATCAAAGTAGAGGTGACTAAATGCCATGTGGGGTCGTGATGGGATAGTGGAACAGAAAAAAGACATTTGCAGAAAAACCGATGACACTGGAATAAAGTCTCAAATTTAGCTAATAGCAATATGTCAACATTAGCTTCCTAATTCTGACAAATGCACCCATTTCTATAATATATTAACAATAGGGTAAGCTGGAATGAAGGATATTTATCAACTCTCTTGTTATTTTTACAATTTTTCTATAAACTTAAAATTATTCCAACATAAAAAAGTTTATGAAAAAGGTTTTATAAAGGAGAGCAATGCATCAATGTGGTGGAGACTGTGAATGTGAAACTCTAATAGGGTAAGTTCAGGAAACTAGGTGTGGGGACACATGCCTGTAGTCCCAGCTACTTGGGAGGCTCAGGCAGAAAGATCACTTGAGCCTGGGAGTTTGAGGGCAGCCTGGGCAATATAGCAAGACTCCATCTCAAAAAAGAAATATATGTAAATGGGGCTGGGGTTGTAGTTTAGTGGTGGGGTGTATGTTTAGCATGCAGAAGGATCTGAATACAACCCTCAGCACCATAAGAAGAGAAAAAAAAATCTGGGGATCCTGTTAAGGTCAACCTGGTTTACTTGTGACCTGGCTCAGGGAGAAGTGAGTTCTGAAATGAAATGAGTGGTTTCAGGTAATCATGAATTTGACAAGACGGGCAAAGTTAATCAACCTCAAAGAATTTTGCTGGAGAAAGGCCAATCATTGTTCTAAAAGCCAATGCTCTGGTGAACAGGCAATGCTTCTAAGAAGAAGCTAGAAGTGTTGGGATTTTTTCACCCACACTTTGTTTTGCCATTCTAGATGACACTTGTTGCTCTTCATTTGGGTGAGCAATTTACTCACTCATTGGGTAAAACTTTATCAATATGCTTTTGTACTGAACTCTGGGTCTTAGATTGAGTTTCTTGGAAGAGGAATGAGTAGGTAGTTTGTTTGAGATGTTCTATAGATGATCCAAGGAAACCCTAGTGAGTGGGAAGAGCTGAGAGAGGGAAGGTGGCCAGAAGAGGGTATGGTATCAAGCAAGTTACCACTGGGGGCAGTGGGCCTTCATGGCCCAGGGAAAGGCTGGGAGTGCGTGTAGAAACACACCTGTGAGTTGTCCTACCCCAGGGTGAGAGACCCAGGTAGTCACCTATGTCCACTGACCATTGGATTGAGGGCTGCCCAGCAGCAGGAGGTATTAATTCCTCAGCCTTTCTGGCCTGCTGGGCAGCACTGCTGAATAAAATGGGCTTTGAAATCCTCAAAGAGATGGAGATTCTGCAGCTGGGATGTAACTGCAAGGGGATCTGGGTGGGTCCCAAACACTACACCCTGTGATAGACATGAGAGAAGCCAGGCAGTGATTAAAACACAGCATTCATCTTGGGGGTGCTCCAGTTTGGTAGCTCTTCCTGAGTTCTCATTCTGCCTCTGTCATATACGAGCTGTGTGACTCTCAGCAAGTAACTCAATATCTGTGTGCTCTAGCTTTTTCAACTATGAAATAGGTAGTCAGCCTACCTTACAGGACTGTGAAAATAAAATGAATTATTATATGAAAAGTGCTTGGAACAACCCCTTGCACATAACAAGTGCTTGCCCCAAAGTAATGAGCACGCTTTCATTATTGTCTCTGGGAGTTTGAGCCTAGAAGGCCCTTCTAAGGAAGTTTGTGGTTCATCCTGTTAATTATAGGTCCCCTCACTAAGCAAGGCCAAGCAGAGGTGACTTCTTTACACTGCCTGGGAAAATTGGGTTGAGTGAGACAGGAGGTAGAGGGACCAATTTGGAGACTTCTGGAATAATCCAGAACAGCTCTCATGAAGCAGGAAGGAAGAGCCTGTTTAGATTAGGTTCCGGAGGAAACTGGAGGCGTGTTCACAGAGTCATTAGGTATATACAAGTCACAGAGGAATTTTGCTAAAAGTAGGAGCGGGTTTCTTTCTTTCTTTCTGATAGTGATGGGGATGGAAACAAGGGCCTCGTCCAAGCAAATGCTCTACCACTGAGCTGCATTCCCAGCCCCTGGAAATACTTTTTAAAATAGTGGGTGATATTAAGACGTAGGAATGATTCAGTATAAGGTAAAATTAACCACGACTGAGAATCCTCAGAGGCAAATCCCAGAAGGCTACAGAGAAAGGGAGACAAGTGTAAAAACAAAAACAGCGTGATGCGTCTTGGATAGAAGCAGGGCACTGACTGTAAGAACGACTCCTCCTTTACAGACTGGTAGTTCGTTTTCCAGAGGTTGAACAGTCTGGGACGTGGTGGAACGGAATCCGGACCACGTTACTCCACTCCCTGGGAAGCGAACCCCACCTTCCAGGGTCTAGAAAAGGGCAGATGCCCCAGCGCAGGAGGGCCTCCGGCGAGGGGGCGGGGCCTCGTGCGGGGTGGGAGGAGTGAAGAGGGCGGGGCTTGCTTGGGAGGAGGTCCTTGATGACCTGGCTCTGGAGAGCGGGCAGTGACAGTCCACTCCTGGCTAACGTGAAACGGGTCGCCTCGGCTTGTGAGGAAAGCAAGCTGCTCTTAGAGGGTCCAGAACCTGCGGGACCGCAATGTTGGGCCAATGAAAGACCTCGGAATATGGGCCTGCGCGAGTCTCGTCCGGTGGAAGAGGACAAGGAACGTGGCCTGTAGATGAAAAAAAGAAGAGGGTTTGCGGTCTGCAGCGCGAACCAATGAGAAGCAGGGGAGGTGGGGCCTGTGCACAAATTGGCCAGTAAAGACAAAGCTTTTACGGGCGGGTTCCTCCCCCTCCACAGCGTGGCTCCAGTTCTGCGCATGCGCTTTTAGGTGGACTACGGGGCGCCGCTGAGCCAAGTGGGCAAAAGGAACACAGCAGTGCGCTCGGGTCACATGACACGGGGGTGCCGAATTCCGCTGGAGTCAGGGCCACTTCCTGTAGGTGAAGGTTGAAGGACCCTAAGGGTCGAGCTGGCATAGAAGCATACTGTGCATGTTGACCTCGATTCGCGACTTGAGATCGAGAGTCGGCCTTGGAATTCGTGCTGTCCAACGGAGAGAGGCCTGGCTTGGGCCAAGAGGGTCGCACTCGCTAACTTGGGGGCGTGGTCTCCTGCGTCTTGGTGACGTAGACGTGGGGTGGGCTCTCCACTGGGCTTGAGATTGGGGGTCCTGTGTAAAAGAGGGGCGGGGCTTCCAGCTGATACATTGACAAATAGGTAAGTGGGAAGAATAACTGTTATTAGTGCCGTTGTCGCATTGGTTTAGCTTGAGTGGTGGTGACGTAAGGGAGTGGGGTTGGAGTCGTGAGAGGCGTGGCCCGGCCTCGGGAGGCGCGGCTAGCCTCTGACGCGTTTGGGGCGTGGTCTGATAGAATTGGGGGCGTGGCCTCTTAGAAACTCTCGATAAGGGGCGTGGCCCAGGATCCTACCTGGAAGAGGGGACGTGCCTTCTTCCGGTTGAGATTGTCGGTGGCGCCCAGGTCTTGGCACTGAGCTTTTCTCCCTTAGGTTCCACCTCATGGAGAACCCCGCGGTCACCGCCCCTGCCGAGGGCTTCTTCCCCTCGTTCCTGCTCGTGACTTGCGGAACACTGTTGGCTGCCCTGCTGGGCGCCGCTCACAGACTGGGGCTCTTCTATCAGCTGATGCACAAGGTGCCAGGGCACAGCGGGAGGCGGGCTGGGGACACCCAAGGAAGGAGGGCCCTTATGGTGCGCTTCCAACTCAACTCAGTTTACAGGTGGGGAAAGCGAGTCTCAACTAGTCCAGAGTGGTGGGGAGAGTTTTTCTAAGGCTTAGCCCCCATTTCCAAGTTGTATGTGGGTCCTGGACTTTGCCACTACTAAGAGATAAGGGAAACTATCGGTGCCTGGACACACACACTCCGCCTGCCTCTTTACCCAGGGACCTGAGCCCTTATCACAGAGCAGAGGACACCACCTAGGATCGTGCTGCCTTAGCCCAGTGGCATAAGTGGGCTGAAGGCAGACATGAGAGGGTGTGGCTGTGATAATTGCAATCTGCTGAGCTTAACGTTTTAGAGGAATTTTCTCACCCATCCCTACCCACCTCCTGAAAGCAGGTGCTGCTGTTTCTTTTCTCATTTCCTCAAGAGGAAATGGTGGTCCAGAGAGGTTGTTTACCCTAGGCCATAGGTTTGGGTAGAGCTGACCCCCCAAGTCTCACTCCAGACCACTTGCTGTCTGTCAAGAATTTACTCCTTCCCAGACCCTTTCCTCAGTCCCTCCCTCTTCTAGTGAGGAGCCATGTCACTGATGTTGAAGTTTGTAGAGATTTAAGGTGATGAGGATGCTGGGGCTGGGATGCTTGGCTCAGTCTGTGCTAGCAGGCGTGCTTCTGTTCCAGGCATGTGGTGGCTGGCAGCTTGCCAGCTGGCCCTGGGCCTGCTCAACAGTGAGTGGGAAGGATCAGGTAGGCTGAAGTAGCAGTCCAAGTGCCTGGCCCTGCAGGGATACCAGTGAACAGGCAGGAGTCCCTGCTAGTGGCTCCCTGCCCTGGCTATACTCCTGTGGGTTCTGTATATCCATCTTCCCTCTCTTCTTGTCCCAAGAAAGGCAGTGTAACATGGGTGCTTAAGAAAGAGGGTTCTTTCTATTGAACTTTGAATCTTGTTTGGCAAGTCTTGGTGTCCTCACCTGGATGAGAGAGATGATAAGAAGAGAATATGATAAGATGAGGTGCCCTGCCCTGAGCCTAATGTATAGTATGGTATGTGTTTAACCAACACCCAAGTTACCCTGACCTCTGACCTTGCTCCTGGCCCTTCTCCCAGCTGCCCATGCTGTAGCCCTTGACAGTCTTGCTCTTGTGGCTCAGGTGGACGAGACGAGTGTCCGGCATGGAGGGGAAAATGTGGCAGCTGTGCTGAGGGCCCACGGTGTACGGTTCATTTTCACACTGGTTGGTGGGCACATTTCCCCGCTTCTGGTGGCCTGTGAGAAGCTGGGCATCCGCGTGGTAGACACGCGCCATGAGGTCACTGCTGTCTTTGCCGCTGATGCTGTGGCTCGCCTGACAGGTGAGGGCAGTACAGAGAGGACTGGGGGCTGGTGGGACAGTGGCATAGGGCATCTCTGAGTAAGAGTGGCTTTTGGGAGGTAGGAGGATGGCTGGAGGGTGGGCATGGCTGTGACAGGGTCTTTGTTTCAGGGACGGTGGGTGTGGCGGCAGTGACGGCAGGTCCTGGCCTCACCAATACAGTGACTGCTGTGAAGAATGCTCAGGTGGCACAGTCCCCAGTCCTGCTCCTGGGAGGGGCCGCCAGTACCTTGCTGCAGGTGCCTATCCTTGTGGAGTGCAGGGGCTTTAGGGAGGTTCCAAGGGGCTCATATGGTAATGGTCACACCCTGTCTCTGCCAGAAACGGGGTGCTCTCCAGGCCATTGATCAGATGTCCCTATTCCGGCCACTCTGCAAGTTCTGTGCATCTGTACGGAGGGTGCGGGACATTATTCCCACCCTGAGGGCTGCAATGGCAGCTGCCCAGTCGGGCACCCCAGGTAGGTGGGGTGGAGTGCTGGGCAGTGGTCAGACCTAGAGGCTCGGGGAGGTGCTGCAGGCTCAGCCTCCTCCCTGACCCCATAGGTCCAGTGTTTGTGGAGCTTCCTGTCGATGTGCTGTATCCCTACTACATGGTCCAGAAGGAGATGGTGCCAGCCAAGTTGCCCAAAGGCCTCATGGGTCGAGTGATCTCCTGGTGAATAGAGCCATTCCCACTACACTGTCCCCCCTCCCCCGCTCACCTGCAGCCTCCTCTTTGCACACATCCATCCTCCTTTGACCCATTCATTGATTTGAACATGGACTGAGAGAAACCAGCTGTGGGGAGAGCATCCAAAGTAGAAGGAACTGCATGTGCAAAGGTCCTGAGGCAGGAATGAAATTGGTGGGTTGGGAAAGCAAGGTGGCAGCAGGTGAGCAGGGTGGAGAGGGAAAGAGGCTGAGCTCAAAGTAGCCCTCCTTCTCTTCCTCCTCCTCCTGTTTCTCCTTTCCCCTTCCCCTCTGCCTTTCCCTTTGCTTGTCTTTGCTCCTGCTTCAATATTTAGTGAGCCCCAGCTATGGCATGGGGTGACATTGATGGACAAGATAGGTCTCTTAGAAGTAATCTGGGGGCTGGCTCAAGCAACAGGGAATTTATTTTATGGCCTTGTTCTTGATGCTCTTAGCCCTCTGGACTCCTGATCACCTGTTCCCTACTTCTCTCTCTCTCCCTCCACACCCCTGTCGTGGTGCCCCTTTCAAGGCTAGCTCTTCCCTTGCCTTTCCTTTAAACTGTGGGTTCTCATGGGTCTGTCTTTGGCCTCATCTCTCTCTCTGCAACCTTGACTCCTTAACAGCAATCATGCTTCTGGCTTCGAGCTCCAGTGGCTTCCTGCCAACACCCACGTATCTGTCTTTAGTTGGATTGAGAGTTCCCTGAGGGCAAGGCCTGGGCAAGATTTCTCTTTGCCTCCAGGGCCTTAAGAAAACTCAAGGCTTCGGAAAACGCTCTTAACAGGGGAACAATGTTAATAACTCCGGCTTGGTTGAATGCTTCGCAAAGTACCTTATACCCTTGGTTGAAGCTTGGAAGGGAAGGTTTTTTTTTTTTTTTTTTTTTTAAATAAATGGAGGAGGAAGCTGAGAAAGGTGAAGTCACTTGCTCAAAGTCACACAGCTAGGAAGTGGCATAACCTGGGGGGCCCAAGCCGACATCTACCTGACCCACAGGCACCACCCCCATCCTGACACCTTGCGTTTGCATTACTTGTTTCTGCAGGGGCCTTGTCAAGTTGGGGAGGCCACAGAGGCTTCTGAGAGCAGACAGGCAGCTGGAAGCTTGGTGTCCCTAGGCCATTGCTTATGCACCTCTGTTCTTTCCACTTTGCTCCCAGTCGCTTTCCTGGTCCCTCACCTTCCTTGGCTGGAATCCCTCTGGTGCACTCTGGTAATTGGCTGCTTCATTTCCTCCTCGCAGGTACTTAAAGAATTGCCTGGCCAACCTGTTTGTGGGGGCTTGGGAGCCTCAGCCTGAAGGGCCCCTGCCCCTGGACATCCCCCAGGCATCCCCTCAACAGGTGAATTTCTTACCTGGCCCAGGTTCCCCATCTGGCAGAGCTCTACAGACCCTCTCCCAGAGCCAGGATTGGGACCTTAGTCTTGCGGGCGGATGGTGACTCAGGGACAACCCTTTGAGCCCCACTTCTTGCCCCAGGTTCAGCGCTGTGTGGAGATCCTGAGCCGGGCCAAGAAGCCCCTGTTGTTGCTGGGGAGTCAGGCCCTGCTGCCCCCAGTACCTGCTGACAAGCTTCGGTGAGGAGCTCTAGCCTAGCCCTTGTTCCCAATCCCTGGTCTTCTGGTGCCCTGTGGGGAGGGAGGAGGCCCTGGGCACATTGATCTCTGCTTTGCCTGAACCCCCAGGGCTGCTGTGGAGACCCTAGGCGTCCCCTGCTTCCTGGGGGGGATGGCACGGGGGCTGCTGGGCCGCAACCACCCCCTCCACATCCGGCAGAACCGCGGTGCAGCCCTGAAGAAAGCAGATGTTGTCCTCCTGGCAGGTGGGCCTCAGCACCCTCCCTCCCTCCAGAAACCTCCTTCCCCATGACTCTGCCCTCCTCATCACTGATACCCGCCCCCCACCACCTGCCCTCTTTCCTCTGCCTTCACACCTTCCCTTTTGAACAGTCTTGAGTCTGAAATTCTGCTGAACCCCTCCCAGGATGCAGTTGTGTGCTGTGCCTGGGCTTCCACTGAGGGTGAACCCTAGTGTCCCTGCCGTGTCTTACATTTACACAAAAAGCCCTTTGAATCCTGTGCCAAGTGCATAATAGGCATTCTCTGTATACAGTCTTACTGTATACAGTCAGGCATTTCTTAACAACAGGGTTACATCCTGAGAGATGTATTGTGTGAACATCATCAAGTGAACTTATGAAAAATAATGTGGCTGTGACATCACTGGGTGATGTCATGTCATGGGACCATAGTCACATGTGTGTGTGATCTGCCACTGACCAGAACATTGTTATGTGGTTCCAGGACTGTAATAACCTTCCCCAAACTCAGTGATTTCTTAAGACCTACCTAGAGGTTTGGTGGTAATTCTGGGTTTGGTCAGACTGGTTCATGAGTCTAACTCTGGCCAGGCAGCTGTGCTAATGGAGATGGGCCTTGCTCATTTATTTGGGAATTGCCTGGCTCTGTGGCTGTTCAAGGGTGTCTCGGCTGGATAACCAAGTCTCCATGTTTACCTCCATGTTCTGCATCCTCCAGCAGCCAGCAGGCTAGCCTGGGTTGGGTCACTATTTGGAGGATGAGAGACATGCTTTTTTTTTTTTTTTTTTTTTTTTTGTTTTTTGAGGCAGGGTCTTGTGAAGTCACTAGGGCCTCTCTGAGTTACTGAGGTTGGCTTTGAACTTGTGATTATCCTGTTTTAGTCTCCTGAGTTTCTGGGATTACAGGTGTGTGCCACCACACCTGGCCTCTTTTTTTTTCTTTGCTATGCTGGAGATTGAACCCATGGCCTTGTGCATGGCAGGCAAGCTCTGTACTACTGAGCTCCCATCTTTGCCTTGAGGCGTCTTTACCCTGGTCTTAGGAATGGCATGCTATTGCTTCTGCCACATTCTGTTGGCCAGAGCTGCTCATGACGCCAGCCCAGATTCAAGAGCTGCAAAGTCATTGCAAATGGTATAGGAACAGGGAGAGGTGAAGAATGGGAACTATATAACAGTGTCCACAGTGGATTAAAAGTAAGGTAGTGGGCATCACCTAGGGCACTGACCCTCTGATATTGATGCCCTATCCCTCATCCCAGGAGCTGTGTGTGACTTTCGCCTCTCCTATGGCCGTATCCTCAGCCATAAGAGCAAGATAATTATCATCAATCGGAACCGAGATGATATGTTGCTCAACTCAGACATCTTCTGGAAGCCCCAGGAGGCTGTGCAGGGTGAGCCCCCAGTATCCTCACCATTTACATGGTCGCTCTCCTCATGGCCTCTGCTGCAGCTGACTTGAGCTGGGTACTGGGAGATCAAGGCCCAGACCCTGCCCTATGGGACACCCAGGCAACCTGAGACACATTTGGTTGTCAGGCTGGTGGGTGTTTCCATAGGAACAAATGGAGAGGTGGGTATGGGGGTAGGGGGCTGGAAATGTGCACATGATCACTTGCTTGGGTACATTTGAACTGCCTGTTGCCCTCTCTGTGTCAGCTTATTTGTTGGCCCCTGAGACTCTGCATCCCATCCCTTTCTGTGCTCTACTTTGCTCGTCATTCTGAGGACAGCGATTCTCCCCCATGGTGTGGGAGCATTCTTAGGTGGGCAGCAGGTCTAGTGTATTTGTGTTTGGGAATGTCCACCCTACCAGCTGGTGGGCATTCACCTGGAAGGGGAACTGGCAGAGGAGGAGAAGGGCTGTTTAGGGCCAGGACAGAAAGGACATGGCCCAAAGTGGGAAAAGACTGAGTGAGGAACTGAACATCTCCAGGCCTCCGATCACTTCTCAAGTGGGGTGTTTACTCATTCACCACCTGGATGCTCACTGCAGGCTCCTGTGTGCCTTAGTTTGAGAGACCTCCTTAAGTGGGGCAGAGCTATTTTTATTGCTGTGTTTTGAAAGTAGAATTGACAGGACTTCATGATATGGGGTGTAAGGGACAGGGAGGTGACAAGGTTGGATTGGATTTGTAACTTGCTTTGTATTCCCTAAACCTCATTTCCCTGGTTTGTGCTGTGTCTTGCCAGGGCTGCCCTTATCTGGTTCTGGTGACTTAGGTGTGTTTAGCCTGTTTTGCCCTAGGAGCACCCTGGCCTGCTTCCATGCCTTCTGCTTGGATGCTGCTCTTGGCTTCCTGCCATCTTCAGGCCTCCGGTGCTGAGGGCAGGAGGAAGGCACTGCTTTGAAGCTGTGCTCTCTCTGTTCTCTAGGAGATGTGGCCTCCTTCATGCTGAAGCTGGTAGAAGGCCTTCAGGGCCAGATGTGGGCTCCAGAGTGGGCAGAAGAGCTGCGGGAAGCGGATCGGCAGAAGGAGCAGACCTTTCGGTGGGGGCTGGATGGCGTGGACATGGGAGGGTGTGTTCCCAGCAGGCTCTGCCAAGGGGCCTACTGACTTTTTGCAGCCCTGTTGTAGGGAGAAGGCAGCGATGCCTGTAGCCCAGCACCTGAACCCATTGAGGGTGTTGCAGCTGGTGGAGGAGACTTTGCCTGACAACTCCTTTCTTGTGGTTGATGGTGGGGACTTCGTAGCAACTGCTGCCTACCTGGTACAGCCCCGAGGCCCCCTGCGCTGGCTTGATCCTGGTAAGGAGAAGCCCACACCTAGGGAAGCTTTCATAATCCAGACCCTTCACAACTATCTGTATTTTTTGTCCTTCTAGGGGCCTTTGGGACTTTGGGAGTTGGCGCAGGGTTTGCACTTGGGGCCAAGCTGTGCCAGCCAGATGCTGAGGTGAGGTGCGGGAAATGGGAGACTTCTTTTTTCTGGGTCATGAGCCGCCCTAACCATTCTTGTTCCCCCTACCAGGTCTGGTGTCTGTTTGGGGATGGAGCCTTTGGTTACAGTCTCATTGAGTTTGACACATTTGTCAGACACAAGGTAACTGGGTTTCCCTGAGGGAAGCTTAGAGCCCCTTCTGGGAGAGGCTGTCAGGGGTGGGCTGAGAAGGGGTAGCCTCTGTGGCAGAGGCCCTGTTTTCTGGCTAGACTGGCCTTTGGGTTGAAGGTTGTGCCTGGTCCTATTTTTTTTTCCTGCAGATTCCAGTGATGGCCTTGGTAGGCAATGATGCCGGCTGGACCCAGATTTCTCGGGAGCAGGTGCCCAGATTGGGCAGCAATGTGGCCTGTGGCCTGGCCTACACTGGTGAGGGGTCTGGGCAGGGTGTGTGTGGGTAGGTGGGGTCCTATCTCAGGCCCATCAGGGCTAGTGTTCCTCTCCTGGACTGGCTACATTCTGGGCTGGGCCTCTGCCAGTATCTGACTTGCTCTCTTTTAGATTATCACAAAGCAGCCATGGGTCTGGGGGCCCAGGGCTTGCTACTCTCACGGGAGAATGAAGATCATGTGGTCAAGGTGCTGCGTGATGGCCAGCAGCAGTGCCGGGATGGCCACCCAGTCGTGATCAACATTCTCATTGGGAGGACGGACTTCCGTGATGGCTCCATTTCTGTATAGGGCCTTGTGGGTCAGTACACTTGGCTCCCTTCCTATATCTGGACTTCCTGGATGGTTTAGAGTCTCATCCTTGCCTGCTCTGAGCCTATTCCATGAGGTCAATAACTACAGTTATCCCGAGAAAGGTGTGGAGGGATCAAAGCTCAAGAGGTACCAGACAGCCATGGAGAACCTTGGGCCTTTGTCTCTGTGGGTCCAACTGTGCCTCTCTACCCTCCTCTCTTACGTATGGACTGAATAAATCACTTCTGGCCCAGGTGGGCCCAAGGACTCAGCTGCAGAACCTGTGCATATTGATTTATTGTCCACAAAGATGGAGGTGAGGGAAAGAAGAGGGAGACAGGAAGGGTACCTTACTCTCCCACTGGCTTACTGGGGATTTCAGGGTGCCTGGGCACTGCAAACTCTTCTCCCCTCTGTGGTCCCTGAAAGTCCCACATACCCGCTCTAGTCGGGCCCATGCACACTAGTCCTCACACACAGACACACACATGCACGGAGGCAATAAATATGTTCCGTACCAAAGTGCCCCCAACCTGACACTTCAGGTGGGGTCCCTCCAAAAGGGAGGGGTTAAGTGCTCAATTTTTTCAGGAGTGGGGAATGGGAGCTTGGGAGGGTAAGAGACAGACTCTGTTATCTCCATTTGCTGGTTGGAGGCCAATCATGGGTCTTCCCTGGAAAAGAGGGTGGGGAAACCAGCTCGCTCTTTATAAACCCCAGGCTGCCCCTATCCAGCTGGAGCCAGGATAGGGGCTGTTCCCCTCAACAGCACCTCATGATAGCCCTTGGACCCTCTGAGGGAGGGAGAAACGGAGTGCAGTGCTCAAAGCTAATACTGATTTGGTTGGCAGCAGCAAGAGGACTGACTAGGGGGTTTCTCACCACCCCAGGTGATGCTCACAGTAATTGGTATTTCCCTGGCAAAGGGGAGGCAAGAGAGGCCAGCCTAGCAAGCAGGAATCTGCCTTTTGGCAGCAAGAGAAGCCCTGGTGCTCAGAAAATATGGCTCTGACAGCTTGTCCCTAATATCCCTGCTGCCTGGCCTTTGCAGTAACTAGTGCCCAAATACAGGCCGCTGGAAACTGGGAGTGATTCTCGGCATGAGAGGTTGGTACCTTGACAACTCCCTAGAAACCAGGAGTTCGGCCTGAGCAACAGGTCTGGGCCTCTCAGGTCATTAGGGCACTGCCTTGGCTACGAGGAACCTTCCTTAGTAACCAGGGGCCCGCCCGCTCTGCGGGCTCAGAGGCACACGTTGATCTGCTTGGAGAGTTCTCTCTCCAGGTCCAGGATGAGGGCGTCAAAGTCTTTGAGATTCAGGTGCGGGTTGAAAGGCGCGTCAAACTCGTCTTCAAAGTCTGCAGCGCCCCTTGGTCCGCCAGCTTCCTCGTCGTCGTCGTCGTCCTCGCTGTCGCTGCCAGTCACGTGGTCGTAGTCGGGCCCAGACAGGAAATCCCGCCCACAGGGTAGGAAGTCCCGCCCGCAAACGCTCCAGTCGCCAGCGTAGCGGTTGCTGGGAGGGCTTTCTGGGCCTCCGCGGCCGCGGGGCCGAGTCACCACTTCGGGGCCCGCTAGCGGCAAGTGCAGAGGTGGCTGTCGTTTGGGCCGCAAGTATGGTGCGACCTCCGGAGCCTCTGGGGGCCGGCGGGGATCTGCGGGAGCGGAGGGCGAGCTTGTGGTGACTTCCACGCACATTAAGCAGCATCGAGGACCTGATTGGCCTCTGGAAAGGCAAGGCCTTGGACCGCATTAGCATTTCATTGGCGGGCTAGAACTGGTTGCTTAGGCAACCGGGCCTGAATGGTCCGCCAGGAGGCGGGGCCTCTGGCCGCATCAAAGAGGGATTGGCTGGATCTGAACCGGTTGCTGAGGCAACCGGGTAGCGGTTTACCTGCGAGGGGGCGTGGCCTGCTATAAATCCCAGAATTTAGCCACAGGGGAACGCATCTCCACGACTGCCTTTCTGTATTGGCGGCGCAGGCCGTGAGTGTACTCACCTGGCCAAGACTGCAGCAGGTAGTGGAGCACCTCGATGTGCCGTTTGAAGTCCACTGCGCTGGCGAGGCCTGGGCCAGTGTTGCGTATGCGGGGCCGGGCGGGTGCCTGGCGCGCTGGCAGCAACACTGGCCCAAAGCACACAGCCAGGTTCTGCGGAGTCATGCGGTTGTGGGCGTGGAAGGAGGAGACAAGGCGCAGGTGGTCCAGGAGAAACGTTAGCGTGGCCTGGGGAGAGGGTTGCGATGGTGGGCAGGAGGCAGGCAAAGTTGAACCCCTGCTGCCCCTGTGAGATACTAAGATGGCTCAGAGTGGGAAACAGGTTCAAGGTTTCATAACTGGAAAGAGGCTGAGATAAGACTATTAATCACTAGATATTAGTATGAGGATACCATTTTGCTGGAGGGGGGAGATTGAGGCTAAGGACAGTTTAGCTTTGGAATGACAGAGGTTGGGCCCACTCCTCTGTTAGGCTGGGTTGTCATGAATCCCATTATACAGATGAAGGAATTGAGGCCCAGGGAGGGAAAGAACTTGTCCAAGATCGCACAGTCAGGAATTTCTCTTCCTAGTAGGTAGACGGATCTGTATTTTTACTCTGTGTTTGAAATATCCAGAGTCTGTGTTTGAAATATCCTGACTCTGACCTTGGGCAATTCACTTAATTGTTTTGGGCCTCAGTTTCCAAATTGGTATTGCTCACTCCATGTCCTGCAGCTCCCATTGATACCACCAGGGCCAACTCACCCTTTCCACATCTGGCAGGCAGTTGAGGAGGCTGCGGGTGCCTTCAGGACTTGGGTGAACTCTGCTTGGGGGCCCTTGGGCCATGGCCTCCAAAACCACCTGATAGAGGGGCTGGGTGATGAGTGGGGTAGGCAACTCTCGAAGATAATCCTTGAGGATGCCTGCAGACACAGGGCCCCCTCTGGTCAGAGCACCCCTGGCTTCTGAGGCCAGAGGGGTCCCCGAGGCTGGAAGTGGGTAGAAGAAGAGGAGAGCAGATGCAGGAGAGTGAAAACAGGTTAGACATGAGGGGTGAGGTCCTAGCAGGGCCACCAGACCAGCTTTGAGGTGAGGGTTGAAAGGAAGTGAGTAAGCAGGGGAATGGGGGCTAGGCTGACCCGTGATGACATTGATATCTGGGTACAGGTCCTCGGAGAGGCAGACAGCTGCACTGTCTCGCTCAAAGGCATCCCGAAGCTCTTTCTTCACTGCTGCTGAGCCACACAGACGGTACAGCCCTACTACCTGGGTGTGGGGACAGAGAGAGGATGTCCTGCTGGGGCCACAGACTGATCAGACCCCAGTGGGTTGGGGGATGGAGGTCTGGGCCAGGGTGTCAGTGGACATTGGGCTTGGAGGGTGGGAACTGACTACCACTGGCTGCTTCCTACTCCAACGACACTTGTCAGGGAGTTCTTCCCTGGGTGCTCAGACAACCTGTCCTCACAACCCTTTGTTTGGATCTGTCATCTTGGCTCCCACCTCCTCTGACTTTTCAAGTAGCTTCTTATATCCTCCAGGAAGCTTCTCTGTCAGCCAAGCCAGGTCCTGCTTTAAGCTCTCCTAGCTCCTGGGTACCTCCTCCTTTTAACTTGCCTTCCAGTTGCAGTCTTACATTTGTGAGCTGCTAGACTTTTCTGAGACTCTGAGCTTGTGAGGGCCAGGATCCTGTTATCAAATGGGTGGGTTACCCATGGGTTCTGACTTGGCGTGTGGGGAGGTGTGTCTCTTGCCCTTATCTAAGCTAGGGTTGGAACTAGGAGTAGCCCAGGCTGGAGGATAGGTGTTCATACCCTGGGGTTTTGGGAGTGGGTCTAAGGTTTGGGGGTCAGCAGATGGGGGGGGGGCCTGGGACTTACCCGAAGCCCTCGGCGCTCAATCTGCCCAACACACTTCTGAATGATGAGAGGCACTTGACCTGGAGGCTGCTCCCGCTCCACCAGCAGCGGCAGGGGCAGCCCAAAGACACGGGGCTCAGCTGTGGCAGGTGCTTCCTGCTGCTCCGACAAGGTCAGTTTGGCATACAGCAGCCCCTGGGGTTCCAGGCGTATGGCCAGCTGCTGGGCCTGGCACCCTGAGGACACAGAGAGGTTCCTGTGTCCTGGCCCCGCCGTTAGGCCAGGCCACACCCTTCGCCCTTCACTTAGCCCCCTAAGCTGGGTCCTGTGCCATATCCCTCTCCTAAAATTCCATTCCATGTCCTACCTCGGAAGACTGTGGGCAGCAGCACAGTGCCCTGAGCACAGGGCCTGTGCCGCCTCACACCAGGGTCCCAGGCAAGCACTAGGGCCCGCAGTAGCTGGGCTGCCTCCAGCTCCAGGTGAAAGGTGTGGTCCAGCCTTAGGAAGTCTGGTCCACTTCTCAGTGGCCCTGTCCGGGCCCGGGCCACTCCATCCACTTGCAGCAGGCAGCAGAGGTCTCTTGGGGTGGCCGCTGATGTTGGCCGCAGCCCCCCCAGCCCGTACAGGTGCAGGCTGAGGCGGCCCCAGAGTGCAGCAGGGGGTGCTCGGGCTGCTGAGTCCACCTCATAGGGCTGGAAGGTGGTGGGTGATGGGGGCCCTGCCGGGCGCTCTGGTGAGTCGCCATCACTGAGGTACCCAGCCTTCGGGCTCCGAGTGCCCCCGATCACTGCTGCCCGCCTTGGGGCCCCCACACTGCTGTCCAGGTGGTATCGGCTGATGACAGAGCCAGCAGGAGCAGCCCTCTCCCGCTCCCTGCCAGCCCGGGGGCCTCGCAGGCTCAGGCGGCGACGCAGCTCTGGCAGCTTCTTCATCTTCATGGAGAGGCGCCGGGCAGGGCCTGGGGACTTGGTGCGGGAGGTTTTGGTTGGGGGACTGGCGGGGGCTGCACCTATGAGAAGAGCAGACCTCAGGGTCCAGAACCTGGGCTGGGGACAGGGTATGAGGCATGTGTGCACCTAGGGAGGGACTGGGGACATGTGAGGCTTGAGGTCACTGGGAATGGGGAGGCAAGTGTGAGGCTTGTGCTTACCTTGGTGGGTAGGGCCCTCTGGCTCAGCTGAGCCTGGCTGTGGTCCCAAGGACTCAGGTACTGGGGATCTGGGGTCTTCTTCAGGGATGGGGTTGTACCAGATCTCGCCGGCAGGCTCTCCACTGCTAGATGTTCCTGGCCCCAAAACTGCTTCCTCAGGTGGCTTGGCCCCACTCAGCACCCATCTGCGGCTGCTGGGCTCCAAGCTCTGCAAGTAGGCTCCCCTACCTGTAGGGCTCCGAGATGTCTCAGGGCTTGGGGGACCCTCTGTTCCAGCCT